CCCCCTTTTTTTTTTTTTTTTTTTTTTTGTTATCAGTGCCCCGACTACTGAGCCCCATGCCCCTGCAGGGCTGCTGAGCACTCGTAACCGGCTGGCCTTGTTTGCTGCCGAAATTACCTTATTGCTGCATTTCTAGCTATGTCGAGAACCTGTGAATGCGAATGCGCAAACGCAAACCTTCCCTCCCCCCTTTTCATTGCATGAGAGCCCTCCGAGACGCCTAGCAGCGCACCGCAGCAGTACCATTTGTTCGAGCGTGCGATTTACTCGTTCGTTTTGGTCGTCTCCCTGGGGTGGTATGAGGAAGATAAAGTGCGTTTGATGTTGAAAAGCGTACACAGCCGCTGCCACACCTCCGACTGGAAGCGCGGGTCGCGGGCGGAAATGAGTGCCTCTGGGAATGCGAGGTAGCGAGTAAGGCGGTCTGCCAAAAGCTCCACAGTGTCCAGTGCAGTGAAAGGCTTCTCAGCTGGGATGAAATGAGTCGACCAACACCAGTGTCGAGTCGTTTCCGGTTGTAGTAAGGGGAAGATCGGTGATGAAATCAAGCCTGACGTGATTCCAACGGCGCGAGGGGATGACACGCATGGAAGAGAGGTTAGATCGAAGTTATCCGGGTGTGGCCGGAGGTGTTGGCCAACGATACCCAAGTGCGTCAGTTCCCTGACACCGTAGATTACTGTCGCATGTTCATGGGGCGCGATTACGTAGAGGTCCGACGACCTCCTTTGGGTTTGACCCGCAAGGCTATGAAGTTCCACTGGCATGCGGTACGCAAGCTCAAACAGCTTCTCATTGACTTTACCACACTACAGGCCCCTGACACTTCGGAGCCCTTTGGCCTGTACACAGAAGCTTCCAGCTATGCGATTGGCGCCGTTTCTATGCCAAGCTATGAACCCTGCTCAATAGAAATATTTAACCTATAACCAGGAACTGTTAGCGCTGATTATACCTTTAGACAAGTGGTCGCACCTGCTGAGAGCGGCAAAGCTTGCGGCCTATACCGATCATCAAGCCCTCACCCACTTACAACAGCTTAAGGCTGCCAAGCCTTTCCGTGGACGAACGCCCATATGGTTAGACTTTCTTGATGAGTTCCCACACCTCACCATCACTTGCCTTCAAGATTCGCCCAACCAGGTAGCGGACTCGCCTTCTCGCCTTCCCTCTCACAGCCCAGCCCCTCTGCAAACCCCAGGTACTCCACCCTCGCTCTCCCCGTCGGGTCATGCTTTACCCACTTTGGCAGCCACGGCACAGGTGGATCGACTTCACAACACCCGGCGGCTGCTTCGGGACTACTGCCGGTGTACGTTGTCGGACGTCCCATCACCGCCAGGGCCTTCCCCCGACTCCGCTTTGGCCTAAAGGGGGCTCTCCGTTTCTGATGTCGGATCCCCCCCGATGAGGTTCTTATCTTACCTGATAGAAAGTACCAAGCTATTCTATAGGCAGTTAACCAAGCAAGCCACAAATCTACACCATACGACACGGGTGCAAGAAGAACCATATCTGATCGTCAGTTTCCTGACGACGGTATTAATGGGCAACTGCTTCCCATTAGCTACAGTAATCATACATTTTTCTGAGAGACGCCACACCTTCAGCCGCAAACATTCGACGATCTTCGGATTAAATGAAACTTCTGGAAGCCCCCATATCGAATAGGGCCTCGCATTGGATCCCACGCGCATCTACTTTCAGAACTGCTGTAGTGCCCACTTTCCACAACATTCCGCATCTTTTCCAGTCTGCTGTCTCACCAGCTTCTCGCCACCATGGCGTCTCTACAGCGTCATCAATCGGGTTATCAGGCTCATCCGCCCCTTCTGCGTCCCTTCCGCTGATGTCGTCTTCTACTCGTCGCGTCTCTTCCCATTCATTCCTAGTTGTCTCTCTCAGGCTGCGCCCCTGCCGTTTACGCCAGCGCAAACGGCCTCCTCAGAGTCTGCAGCCTCTTCCACTACGGTTCTGCTCTGACTTAGCAGATTCTTTCCCCAGCCGGGGAAGGATGGCTGTCTCGAGTAGTGAGGACGTACCGCAGCGGCTGGTTAACGCCGACAGGCCGTATCCGGTAAAGTAGGCCTTGGGTGGATGACTTGCCCGAACTGTTGGAGGTTTTCAACTCTCGTTGCACACGGTCCCACGACCGCCGCTAAGACTGCAGGGGCTTCTCTCAAATGTTGAGACTGAACCCTTCCCCTACGGGTTATGCCCATGGCCAGTACGAGAGGCAAGTTGGCCAAGAGAGTCGGTAAAATCTGGTGCCTACATCGCTGGACCGTATGCCACTATTCTCGCGCAGTTGGCAGTGCACTGCTGGTAGTCGCAATTCCACCGATTCTTGCCCAGTTGTTAGACTCTATGTTCGACCTTCCAAATCACGAGGGCAACGCTCGCTTCAACGATTACGAATCGGTCATGCCCGCCCTTGTGGCTCGTAGATCCAGGAATTACCCCTGTGTGGCCTAGTCTAGATATTTGACTAACTCTTGGCCCCATTGGTGCTGCCCTAGACATTTCCATTTTCCTACCCATTTTTCTCGAACCGGAATCCCCTCAAGTGTGGGAAACCCGTCATGCATGGTCCCCTTTCGCGCGATACTGGCATTAAACAAACTGGATGTTTCTTTGCCGTTGCACAGGAGTGCTCTTCGGCGGAAGAAACGTGTTGTTTTGCCGAACTCTCGCCTTAACCAGCCCACCCCCTGTGAGAAATCAGTATGCGGAGTATCAGGGGTTCTTCCTTACTGCATCACTCTGTTTGAGTTCGACAGTCCCTTCAATTCCCCTTTGTGTCGCTGTTGGTGCGTTGATCTGTACTGTTAGGCCACTGTCGCTTTCCTGAAGCACGGTCCGGCGAGTTAGGGTTCGTGCACCTACGTCTCCGGTAGGA